GATAATTTGATTGCTTACACATTAATTTCTTACACTCACAAGTATTTCACTAAAAATATTTTAACTTTCTCTAATAAGATATAAATCCCATTGCTTAAAACCAACTTACAGAGAAATCACGCAAAAATTAACAAACAAATCTATTTTATCTCTACACATTTCCTGTATCGATGCATTATACAAAGCTTAGTATTAAATATCAAACTTACATCGTATCGAGCCAAGTAACGGCTAACAATAAGTATCACTTTTAGAGTGCGAGGCGTTAAATTTGTCAGGATTCAATGATTTTCAGCAATCGTTTATAAAATTAAACAAGCATCGTTTACCGAGAATGGACGAATGGTCGTTTGGACTTTAATTTGATCGGGGGCGGGGGTCGAACGAGCATTCGTTCGATTGGTGTAAATGCACCATAAGCCGCACGCTCGCCCGTCACTTCTATCGACCGACAACCCCTGGAACACGGAACACCACGCAACAACTCCCCCGGGAACACGGCACCGGTGCCGGAGGCCAGGAGGCACGCGATCCACTGATCCGTCTTGCGAGAGGCGCTACCGTTATCTTCAACGGGCAATCTTGAGCAGACGACTAATAGGTTCAGCGCGTGAACACCTTGTCCCGTCAGGACCACGTGAAAAGGCGTTCACCGGCTACGTGACCCGCTCGCTCGGGGCCTCCGCGAAATCGTCGTGGAGAATTGTTTAACCGCGATGGTAGATAGAACGATAACTCTACCAGGCTGATTCGCGTTACGCTGGACTAGGTTAAACGGACCACAAATCGCGCGGCGCGTTTTATTTCGAAGCACAGTCTTCTTTTCTCCAAGTTTTGCTGTGATTATTTGAAATTGCAGTTGAAATTTGTTCGCGCGATCTCTTTCATACAAAGTCCAAACCAGCTGTTACCCGACGGTTGTCGAATTAAGTGAACCCGAAGTTTCAGGAGATGTTGTGGTCTGGCGTGATGGCGTGATGGCGCCTTTGAAGTAGTCTTCGAAATGATTTTCTTTTTCAAGTGTTACATGGTCGTAGGTGCGTGCACTATTGCCTGTGTGTTACTGCGTGCTTGATTGGTTCGAAGGAAATATACATTGTGATGTAATTGCAAGTATTTAAAAAATCTGACTGGAGAATTGTATTTTCATTCGCGATTATTTTATAAAAATGGAGAATTATGTGTGCAGTGAACTCGGTACGATTGAAGTACATTTATAGAATACAGATGTTGAAAAGTAGAAAAGAATTTCGGAAACTGATTATAAGAAGTTTTAGCTGAAAATAATCATTGGTTTCTACCAAATTCATTGTTTAATATTTTGCGTTTATTAACTTAACTGCTTGATGACTTGTGAACGAGACTATACATACTTTAATCTTTTATATTGTATTTTACGTATATTTTCATGTATCTATCGCGATACACTTTTAAATTTCCGTCATATAAAATCACCGTTGTAATTTCTATAACTATAAAATAAAAATTCTAAAATGATTCAATTTAATTTGTAATTCTAGTACTAACTATATAATACTAATGTCTGCGTCTAATATTAATGTCAACGTCTCCAGCACGATGCGTTACTATTTCTGCTCATACTGATCCATATTACAAGCGCCACTGTTCACGTCATAACTCTGAGAAATTTTCTATCATTAATGACTTGGAAACACAATCCAAACTATAATTTCGATACCCTTGACATTCATCTTGCTTTGGCCTATAAAACCATTGCTTAAGGTATTTGTTGCCCGTTTTAGAACAACTTGTATCTAGCGGAAAGTGGAGACTTTCGCATTCTCTTTCGCACAGAGAAATTAATCTTCGGTAATATGGAAATTCTACTGTGACATGAGAACATGAGAAGGTCTCTGTCCACATATAAATTCTCGACACAGAGTCTTTCTTAATAGGACTTCGCTGGCGCCATGCATACTTGCATCTGAAACCGTTGAAAACCAAACTGTCTGTCGCGAGTCATGTGCGTAAGACTCGCTTAGAATGTGACCCGTGCGTTGATCCGACTCAGGAGCAACTGGTTTCTGCATAATTTTATTGCGAAACTCTCGACGGGAACCACTGATCATAAGAAACACTGTGTGCTACGGCAATACTTTCCACTTTGCGTTACCGATGTCACGATCCTGACCACTTACAATTTACCGTGCAAGTGTTGTACCTTACATTTTAACGACTTTCATATATCAAGCGTACAATAGTGGCACGTGGACAAATGGAATCGATGCGAATAAAACGTTTTTACGAATAGAGAAGCGTAGCTATTATTAACGCATTCGAGGTCGATAACGTAGTACTACGTCATTTTTTTCATTTTTTTGTAAGAATACTAACAGAAAAGTCTTACGTCATTTTTCATTTCCCGTATCATTTGTTTTTTTAGAAGAATGATATTAATGCAGTCCTACGTCATTTTATATTTTTGTTGGAAGTATGCCGCTTAATCCCACGACCTTTTAAAATTTGTAACTAAGCGTTGACAACGTAGTTCAGTTATATATTTTTAATATTTATACACATTTGAATAGTAAATTCTTGCAGTTTTCAGCTATAAACGTTGGGAAATTATGTGCGCAAATGTGTTAAACTTTGATCAGAGAAATAATGAATATTTGTATGTTTAATAGAAATAAGTTTTATGGCTATATATAACGTTGCAAAAGAGAGTTTTATTAAAATATCTAATGTTTCTGAAACGATGAAGATCGCACAAATAATGAAGATAATATTTTTTGAGAAATATGTTGCCTTTAAATTTTCAGAGTTGAGCTCCATTTGAATCATTTCGAATACATGTATGTTTATCTAAAATAATTCGACAAATAAATAAAAACTGTAAAATGATAAGCATTTACTTATTATTGTAATAACGCTGAAAATCATGTGACAGTATGTAACAATAAATGTGAATTACATTAACAAACTTTTTAATATCCTGCAAATTATTCAGATATTCCCTTCATGAATTATCGACTACGTTATACCTTTAAATATTTCATATTGAATAAAAAATTAACAAACATTGTCGGAAAAGGGTGCTTCAAGTAGAATTTTAATAAAAAATGAAAGAATCTTTACTGCGTCGGTGAAAAGGGTATCAATGAGATGAGAAAGAGTTTCCGAACAGAAGAGTGATACTTCCTCCATGAATTTAAAGTTTCATATTGAATATCGATCTTCCAATGAGTATCCGTCTGAAGCAGGTAATGAATTAATGGGACGATCTAATATTGAAAAGGTTCCATTTTATCATTGGTAAATATAATTTCAAGTATATAGTAATGCAGTTATTAAAAATGTGAAAATAATTCATGGAAATATGGAAATAAAGATAATGAAGGAAATATCTTTATGGGTAATTTTAGAATAGAAATACCTACAATAGGTCAATGTTACTGAATTTATTCTTCCATAACTCATTAGCATTTCCCTCGTACACTCTACCTTCCTCCAATCTCATTTTCATATACGATTAAATTTTGCTATTCCGAGAATAAAAGCAGGACCATCCTTAACATAATTCATAAGTGAATATTTAAACAGCTACAATTTTGCATTTAACTATTCAAAACATAAGATAAAATACAATATAATTTTCCGTTCATAGTTTCAGTGGATTTAATATAATACAAAAAATGATGACAGTTTGTTATAATATTTATTTTATTCATTTTATGAATGTCTTTACAAACTATAAGTTGATAAGGATTTATAGTTCAATAACGTAACGTATGATTGATAATAATTTTAAAAACGCCTATCTTGTTTTAACTTCAAACTGTAATTATAAATACATACTAATGTAATGCCACGTTTTACTTCCATCGTGTAAATTAATTAAGAAATATATTTCACAGTTCTATACATAAAATTAGTTATTTTAAATTCCGACGAATTTATTTAAAATAAACGTATTAATAATTCAAGCACAGTCTCTATTTCATCGTTTTTCATTTAAATCATTAATAGAATCACAGGAAATCTTGATTATTTGCAAGTAAGTCTTCAGTTTTAGTTTTATACTGCGAGGTATGAAACAATTATCGCTGAGTTACTGCGAGTAGATCGCTTAATTTCTTAGAGTGTACAGAACTCCAAGCAGCGAAGAGATTAAGGTAACAACGTCGTTACATTGTGCGATAGAAAAAGAAAATCCAAGAAGGATTTGGAAAGATGGGAATAAAAGAAGGTCTCCAGAGATAAAGATAGTACATTAGGAATTACGTTCGTGACCTAAATTTTGTGAAAAGATTGACGTTAAAATACGTAATCCACAGCTAGTGCAGTCACTGCGTTCCCGAAAACTTAAAAATTCTATTGCAACTATCTTTAAGCTTGACAATTTGTTACAAATTGTATTGCATTATCGATTCTCTTAAGTTTATTATACTCTTCAGAACAAAAGGAAATATTTCAGCAGAACTGAATCTGTATTAATTTTTCTAGTGGAATTAAAAATTATCCGATCATCATTAATATCTAATTACTCATTTACAAATATGATATTAATTTTTGTATAATGCTTGGGACAATTTTCTGTATATTTTAATATTATACTTCCGTGCGCCAGAAGCGGAACGTTCGATGAAGAAACGTTACGTTATCAAACATTTAATTTCTGTTTAAGTTTTAACTTGTATAATTTTATGACTAATAATTTTTTGTATCGATTTTGTAAATAAACAGTTAATGTTTCACTGTCAATAGAAAAAGATTAATTAGTATCGCAATGACTGGTTCAATTTATTATTTTCCTGATACACCCACAATTCCCCCATTCTCCCCTATTTATTGAAAAACATCTAATAACTTTTCATGTTAATTTCGTAATTTAATAGTCAATGCTTTATTCCCAACAAAAAAATATTAATTAGTATTGAAATAATTCGTTCAGTTTACTATTTTCCTTAAATATTCACAATTCCCTCACAGTCCCCTACTTATGATAGAATAAATCCGAGAAATCTGTGATTACTTACGATTCACGTCCAAGATGACCACTCTCGTCAGCGGTGAGACCAAGTTGGTGTTGCTGGCTTCACAGATCAACCGAGTCTTGAGGTGTTGCCGGCCAACTTCAGGGTAACACAAGTGGTTAACCGTTCGCCCTGACTGGGTGTTGTACTCGTAGTACTCGTCTATCACGGTGTTCTCGAGGTACCACGTCAGCTTCGGGGGCGGCCTGCCACCTTCTACCTCGCAAATCAGGTTCACGTCACTTCCCTCGTTGTAGGGTTCCTCTATCCTTGAGATATTCCTCGTCGTCGCGTCCCGTATCACCGGCTTCGACGGAGGCACTGTGCGAACAGCGTGCATGATTGAATCACCGGAAATATGGATTGATTATTTGTCTGCTGGATGAGAATAGGATGATCTATGCGCGCGACTAACGATGCCGGTGATTTACAGGTGAAAGATTGATTAGCGCCAATTGAATCCCGATGGTCTGAATGATTTACCATTTCCTGAATACTCTTTTCATCGGTCGCGACGATTACACGCGAATGAAACCATAGATAAAACTGGGGAACGGTGATGGATTTATGGACAATGTACCGGGTGATCCATATGAAATTATTTTCTAGCGTTATAAAAGAATGACTGAAGTAAATTCGTGAATTTAAGTGTATTTTTTATATTAATTATAATTGGCTATAGTGTTGGAATTCAAGATGGTGCGTTATTATCGAAAAGCTTTTATCACTGCAATGCACATTTCATAGATTTATAGATTCTATTAGACACAATTAAATGTAAACTATATTAGGAATAGATTGTTCATGTCGCTGATGACTAAGTGCAGTTAATATAAGAATGTTTAATTACTTCAAATTATAGAAAATAAAAACGCAAATGAAATACAAGATATGTTACAGTCTCCTGTTTTATGTTTTTTACAATTAGTTTATTATTTAGATATTAATATTATTGGTTAGAATATTGTTTTCAGTGAGAAAACAAAGATCATTAAACCAAATGTACGATAAAGTATTTTTGAGAGATAATGGGAATGTATTTTAGAATTCACAATCAAATTCTCTTGCATTCAAGAATGTAACAGAATTCATAATACTCTCTAGAGAATGGGTGTTATATGCACACCATAGAGAATTTTAAATAATTTGAATCTTGTACTTCATCTCGAATGCTCTTTGTTTGCAATGTATAGCCGATATTCTACATTAAACATTTCTCCTTCGTCTATAGAATCACTTATTATCATGATAAATTGAAATAAATTGTCTATTTCACATACTTATTAATAATAATACAAAATTTATACATATTAGAAAGCAAAGTTAATCTAATATCTGTAAGTTTATGGTCTTAAAAATTTGAAATGTTTTTTTTATAACTTTTGTAAGTACTGCTAGCTGATACATTTATTTTTAATACTACATTCTTAAATTTATGTCAGTAAACCAATATACGCAACATACGCGAAGAAGGAACTTGAACAAAATATATTAACTGCAAAAAATACGGTCATATTTTTTAAAAAGGAAACCATGGACAAATAATCTGTACCTACACGCGCATGGTCACAAAACCATATAGTTAAAATCCGGTGAATACATGACGAAATCAAGAAATCTATTTCTGAGTACACTTTTACGATATCCACCAATTATACAATATAATACTTGAATGTAGTAAGCTTCAATTACTTTTTTTCAATTGAATTCACACACTATAAATGTATCGTGTTCGATGTGAACATTTTTACAAAGGACAGAAAATTAGTTTCTACATGGAAGGAATCAATTTTCATTTCGCCCCCGTTTTCGTGACGCGAAAATTTAAATATCGTTATTTATGCATCGATTTCAGGGAAATGAAAAAGTTGAATGTATGTAATTCATTGAGTATAATGAATAAAAGATTCACTGCTCACCTATAACAGTCAAATTCATCTTTTGCTTCCTTGTCGGTGAATTCTTGAAGTCCACTCGGCACCGATAGATCCCTTCATCTTTAGATTCCAATCGATCGATGCTGAGGTGAGCGGGATTCGACGCTGTGATAAAAAAAGCTCTTGGTCCCAGTGCCGCTGGCGACGACCAAAGGCGAGCCTTGCTAAACTGTCGACCTTCCCGGACATCGAAGCTGAAAACATTTGATAAACTGCATTTTTAACAGCGTCGAACTAATCGGAGTTACTTATGCATTTATGGTAGATTTGAAAGTACTAAACTGTACAAAATGTATAAAATTTAGAAATATATATAAAATTTGCAAAACATAAAGCATTATACATTGTTCATTAGAAAAAACTGTTTTATATCGTAATTCTGTTTGTTCTAATTATATTCTTAAAATTTTGAATTTGTATAAAAATCCAATATTTATTATAATATCTTATTACTATTATTTATGATATTTACTAATAGTATTATTATTAACTTACACTGTTAATATCTATTTGTATAGTTACTACTGCAATGTATATTAGCACACAATGAAAATGTGTTTTCAATAGACATATTTAAAATGTAAAACAGAAGTATTTAAAGAACCATAAAAATACATGGTGTATTATTTTAGAAATTCTGGAATATATATGTGATAATAAATGCACTAAGAAAAATGTGAGCAAAATAGAAACTTCTATTTAAGATAAATAATATTTCATTGAAACAAATTTTCATATTTGTAATATCTAATTAATTTAAATGATCACATTAGCCACCATGTGTCCATTTGCAAGCTTTTGTTCATTTTATTTCACTAAAAAAGACTAATGAAGGTATATGATATTTATTGAAGTATCAAAACATTAATGTTAAAAGTATACGCCTTGTCCATTAATTTATATCTCAATTATCAATATATTTATTAATATATAAAAGTTTGTAAGTGTTCGTTAATGTAAAACCAGAATTAAATTCACGGAGCAACAATAGGAACATAAAATGGTCATCGCAAAGGTCAAATGAGTCAACAAATACATCAGACCAAATACAATTTTTACTATAATTTTGTTACGAACATTCATTCCACATCTGAAACTTGACTTAATTAGAAACCCAAAAAGATCAATAATTTTAATAGTCAATGTGCTGTATAAATAAACATAAATAATAAAAATTAAACATATACTTTTAACCGATGATATTCTTATGCAGCTGGTAATGACGTTATTTATTGTATCCTGTTCATTACTTTATATCAACGAGTGCTCGGAAAGAATAATGTAGGAGTGGTTTCATTGTCTCAAACTAAGTTTCATTGCCTCAACGATTGCAATCAATTGATCGAATCAGATATTCTCTTTCTCCTTCATATATCATGGTTGTGTACGGGCAAGCCTAATTGATTGCACATTGTGCCGCAGTTGCAATTAATATGTAGTTACGATGAAAAACTGGCCGAATTTATGGAGACCGCGAATAAGCCGTGTTAAATTAATTATCCGCGTATTGGTTCTATAATTATATGCCCAGATGCTGTGTATCGTTAATTAACTACCACCCGCTCGTATTCCAGCGGGGATGAAATACATTGATATTACGCTTAATTTTTCTCATTAATACTTCACGAACGTAATTTGTCACGAAGCGCAATTAACTTCTTCACAGATAAGCTTTTAACAGATGGCTCTTTAATAGCAAAATTCTTGGAAAGCTAGGCACACATTTTCATGAAACTGCCACTTGTAATCTCAAAGATCCAACAGATGAAGTTGACAACTCCCTTTCCGGACGTCTCGCGATGTAAACTTTAGTTGATGTCACGTGCAAACTTGAGAATATGCTTACTTGCGCTCTATCAACTTCTCGGTGATTCTCTCTAGAATCTTCCTAATGTCTCTGTTAAAGTATAACACGATGCCTGATCCCAAGACTCTGCAGCATTTAGTTTCACATTCGGAATTTTTTTCCTTTCTTAAGAAAATGAAAAGATTAGTATTACAATTCTTAGGTCCATTTAAGAGTTTGATTTAAATGTCCATATCTTTAATCCTTAGACTATCGAGTCTTCCTCTGTTTCAGTTTGGAGCGAAATTAAGATAACACGAATAAGCAGTCATAAGTGGTAACAATACGTTCGAATGATAGAATAATCTCCTCCTATATATCAAATAATTGATTTATTTCATAAAATGGACTTCAAACTACTATGTGAGTATTAGGATACTAACAGAAATTTATAATGGGGCGTATTATCCCGTTGGTGGTCTAAGGATTAAGTAAAAAATTATTAAATTTTTGATACTTATACGAATATTTAAACAAACTGAATTTTCCAACTTCTTCTTAATGTGAAGTTCAAATTATCCTAAAGTTAATGTTCAAATTATCCTAATTGATTTCACTATATCTCAACAGTTGTTAAATATTCTAATAATTCCACTTCGACAGATATCTCATCGAAATACACATAATAAATCCACTTTCTATTCCCTTTCCATTAATGTCCCATTAATTCAAACAAATCAATTTCCCCTAACATTCCCTTACATTTTTAAAAATACCCCGCCAGGAAATCATATCAAACTACCGGTTACACGCTACGTCGATCGTCATTTACAAGCTCATATCGAATTCACGATCCCATTACCGCGTCACACATAACACCACATCGATTAGCTCCCGATAGCTACCTGGAGTTCAGGCACGCACGAGGCAAGGCCTTTAATCAGGTCGCGATAGATCTGTTCGGCAAGAAGTGTTAGCCGGCTGGTAATCCGCCGGGATGGAAGGGCAGGGAGCATACATCGGAGTCACCTGGGGAGCCATGCTCCGTGCATGATTGCATATTAACCATCCAGGAGCCGGGAAACAGAAGGCTTCGCGGGGAGAGAACGGGACGGATGTCTTGCTGAGATAGAAAGAGGACGCAGCGCGGCGCGACGGGGTAAAACCAGAAGGGATCCGCGCGATGCGCAGAGGAAAGGGGGAAGAAGGGAACGTGAAAGAAGAGAGAACCGTAGGAGACTGAGTATGGAAGCCGACGGTTCCTCACGAGCGACTAAAAGTTAAATTGCGTTCCACGACTGCACGGGAGTTCGGATTTCCGCTCGTGACTGAGTATTCCCAAAGCTATCCCACTCCCGGCGCCTGCTTCCGCGGCATTGACGTTGAAATACGATTTAATTCTTCCACTTCGCACTTCCAGCAGACGAGGAAAGCGTTTCCGTGACGTGCCGCTCCGCCGTCCGGACGTCCGTATGGCTACCTAGCTCGAGGCTAGCCGCCCTTTGGGCCGCCGTCACACAGCTGCGAACCATCCACCCTGTACATGCCCATACGTTGCCTACCCCTTGCACCAGGATCCGTGGATATAACCGCGGATCGTTCGACCGGCTTTCAACGAACGATAACTCCGCAAAGCGATTTCAGGGGATCGCTCTTCCGGTTACGGATTCGAGCCTAGCTCGGGATCAAGCTCTTTAGCCGCCTCGGAATCTAGAAGATCGACTGGTCCAGATTTACGGAGATTCCCCGGAAGAAAGATCGTGGCTTGGACGATCAGCGAACGGGATGTATGGAGATTCCGGCGATTGATCGGTATTTTCGGTTTCGTTAGAAGACGTAGTTGTGGAATTGTTTAGTGAGACTTGAGAGTCGTCGCGTTAAGTGGAATGCGATAAGTGAATTTTTATGTTAGAAAAGTGTTACATGGTGTATTTATTTTGTTGTCTTATCAATATGGATTGCATTTATTACAGTTATCTACATATGTAGAATTATGTACGTACATATATATTTTAAGATTTTTGATATCGTGAAATATAGTGTCTCAGTTATTAATAGTAAGTTAATTGTTAATATTTATCGATATTGTTAGAAATTTCTATCATATCTGTTGCATGTTTCCGGAATAAAAGGGTTAAGAATAATTTTATGCATTTTTAAAATATAAAAAAAAGTTGCGGGATAATTATTTGATTTCTGTTCATCAACGAGGAATAAGTGTGAATGAATACTGGAATAATAGGCCCACTATTGGATGGAGTTGGATGAACTCAATTTCTAATTTCATTAAAATTTATAGCGAAAACTACAGAAATTCTTCGTTCTAAAGTAAATAAGTCGTCAAAATATTTAGCTTCAACCTGAGAATAAGATATTGAAATAACAGCTTGGAAATTGTACGATAAAACCCGAGAAAATCCTTCTGTATTAAATCCTCATAATTCTTTTATACTAAAACTGGCAGTTACGGATTAATTATTAAGATTCTACACAAACTTTCATTAAGAATGATGGTACCTATCACACACACACACACACTAATTTTTGACATTTTCTCAATGCAATGACTTATACGATCATCTGTCACATCACACGATCTAATAATTTTAATTCGAATTCAGATTCATAAGAATCTCCAACCAACCAAGACTTTTCACTATTCAAAGATATGAAAGAAATTTGCAATCCACTAATTATAGAAATTCTAAATTAAATCGATTCACTTGTCAACAATGTATAGTCCCCAATTCTTCTTAAGTCACTTCTTCTTAAACGAAACCAAGCATTCCCATGTTCTTTAACTTTCAGACTTTTAAGAGAAGATGCAATTAACCCATCCGCGAGAGAGCGGAACTCGGTTTCTTATAATACATGCGATTTAAATCGGAGAACACCGAGCAAAAGTGGACGGATTCAATTCTGCGAAACGATGTCCCTTAAGAGTAATCAGGGATGCTATTTAGAAGTAACGAAAATATTACAGAAAATTTCATAAAAGGTCGAGGGCGAGAGAAAACTAAAGGAAAACGTAGATAAGAAGCAGGGGGAATGAGGAAACGAAGGACGAAGGAAGATGGGTCGTGTAAGGAAATGAAGGAGACGAGCCTGTAATCAAGAGAATTGAATGAGCAGGGACTGGTTAGAGCGAAACGTTCAAGTGGCCGAATAAATCGGTGTAATGAGATTACAAATCAGATTAAGTGGAAGTGAAGCTACTGAGACGAGACTCAGGCTGAGAGGGTGACTCTAAAAATGTTAACATCCCAGTTGGCCGAGCTTGCGTTAAGGGATTCAAAATTATGATATCATTATTCCTTTAAGTTTTATGATGTACAGAGAGAACAAATTTACGTGCAAAACATGCCCGTCCTTATCTCTCGTTCGTGTCTGCTCGAGGCCAGAGCACCGTTTCGTTTCGTTGGATTGGCAAAAACATTACTCTCATTTATCAAGCGTAATGGCGATAACAATGGACAGCGTATCTTTCTGAAAGTGTGTGATTTCGTTTTACTTCATTAATTTCTTGCTTCACAAATTTGTAAATTATATCAATCTAGTGATAGAAATGTTAGGTTTTTGTAGTTATTTCAATGTAACTGTGATTTGTAAAATGTTCTCAAATATTTACAAACGAAACGTCAGGGAATTGTTTAAATATTTCTTTATGATTGAATAATAACGATACGTGAAAATAAGTCTTGCAAATATTTTTAAAAATTGTACTACTTCCGTATGTGACAGGGCCGTCTCCGAAAAATCGAGAATGGTAACAAAATGATACCAACAATTAAATTCACATTAGCAACTACCACGGAACAGTGTAACATATCATTTCCTACAACGACTATCAGAAACCTTAAAATTAACAATCTTTTCAATAATATTAAACTAAAATTCGCATGATCTACAATTTCACGTATAACAATCTTCAAGGTTAAAACTCAATTCACCTTCTCTAAATAGATCATTCTATTCCTTACATTTCCAAATATCCATTAAAAGCATAGAAACGAATGCAACGATCACAAATAAATAAACGAACAATGAAACAGCAACAGCAAGAACGCAGTCGTACTACCGACTCTACCAAACGATTTCCGTACGATAAGCTCGTTGGTACGTCGCACGATAAATATTTTACACTTAGATCCAAATGTAGGCGGGCGAAACAGGAACTCGTTGAGAAGGTGCACGGTGTGTCTGTCCGACTTGAAATTTAAAGTTTCCCCTCCCGTGTCGAGGATTAAACTACTTTGCAGCCGGAGACAACCTATGCGCCCCGGACCATCCGATTCGCCCCGTCTCGCCAGGTGTGAGGGATGAGATCGGGCGGCGTGGTCCTGAGACGATGCATCGCTATTCCCGAACATATCTTACACTTTATTACATTTCTTAAATATGGCCAGTCCTGCCGACTACCTTTCTTCCTCGTCTTTTCCTCGCGGAGTCTTGCTTCTTCCCGCATTGGCGGGCGTAAAGGAGTTGAAAGTTAGGGGTAGAGCGGTTAGGAGGAGGGAGGACCATTCTATATGCAAAATTTCACGGGCCGCGGAAGCGAATCGGCGAGTTAAGAGCCATATGAAGATCACCGTGGAAAATAACGCGAGAAATTTCTGGCCCAACCCGGGTCCACCACCGCCCGCCATTTTATTTCCACGGCGTAATTTATATTCCCGGATTATCAGGTTCCGAGGGAATTTTAGGCAGTGGCATGGCACCATACGACGCCTTTGTGCCCGTAGCACGTTTCTAAGGGGCCTGATGAATTCAGAGGATGTGGAAGTCCGGGGATTATACGGCGCAAGACGGCGCCAGGGAATTTACTTTCAAGCGTACGCCTCTTCGAGTCGGTCTCTTTGGGTATTAACGCCGGGAACCGTTCAATTTGTTAGCTTCCGATACATTGCTCGTGCAACTGAAATAATTCAGTTACCACTGTTTACGTAATATGAGTTTATTGGACGTCTGACTTGTCTGATGCGTCTCAACGTTTTTCGTTTATTGCAGTTTTCTCGTTCGTTCGTGTGTTATTTTTGTAGATTTCGGAAGCAAACTGATATGTAATTTGTTTGATATGATATTCTATTGGTATATAAAATAATTAAATATTTAATGTTTAATCTCATGAATTATTGCACGCGTTAAGTAATTAATTATTCCTAACAAAGTATAATTGGTCGTTTAATGTACTAAATATTTCGTTATTTAACACATAACTTAATTATTATTGAATATATGAAAGTACTCTGCACTAGTAACGATATGATTTATATGTAAGGAAAGAAGTTACAGATCATAGATTGTTATTTTACAAGTCAGTAACGTGTATAGTAATAGAATTGACTTTTACTGTTGTGATACCTATGATAATATTGTAATAGTCTCTAAACATTACTTGATGGTATTATTTTAAAATTAACAAACCTCGAAAGTTTGGATCAAATATTAACTATTCCAAGAGAGTGAAAAAAGTTTCTCCTTTTTCTTTATTGCATGAACCTCAATTAGTATGATAATTAATCAAAATGATATTTTTATGACGTGACAAAGTGGAAGATTATATATTTTGTAAATGTATTTGAATTCTGCAGTCTGTGATTATTAAGATTAGAAACTTCTGATCACCTACTTGTAAATTGGTTCACCGTTCCCTTCTTTGTACCACAACACCATGCTGACCCCGTCGTTCTCAGTGGAACTAATATCACAAGGAAGCTGAACCTTTTTACCCTCTACACCACTGATTGCGACGATTGGTACTGGAAAACAGAACAATAAAATATATTTAATAAATGCCATGTAATTATTCAATGAGGAAAAGGACAACTTATCCGTTATTCTTAATTTCTTTCTTGGAATATAATAATTGTAACCATGTGTTTCTAAATTAAATCTGAATTGTAAAAATATATGTATCTCTCTTAATGAAGAATACTTTAATGTCTTTTAATAAAGAAGATTATAAATAAAAATAAAATTACCTTAATTTTTTAGATATATTTAATCTTTTGTTACAACTTTACACCTTACAATTATTATACCTATAAATTATACGAGGTCCTTTGTCTTTATATTTCAAGACTTCTTTCATACAACTGTAATGCTTTATAGTAAAGAATTTACAATTTTTATATAGGATGCATAGAAATACAATGCTTAACTTGATATTAACTGCGATTATCATATTAATAAGCAATCGTTTATTTCAGGATCACAAATTTCACCTTCTTTTTCGTTTATAAAAGCATTTAATAACTTATACGTTTTTTTTCGAGCAATGTTTGCGTTCTTTAAAGAGTGGCTTTTACTGTTATATCCTAAATGTTTTCACCTAACACTGTTCCAATAAATCAGCTGTTGATAAATCTTGATAAATTAGCTTGATATACTTATGTCCCAAATCATTAAGCTTAATTTATTTCTTTACATAATACTATACATTTTGAAATAGATTAATTTTGTAATTGATTCGATCACATTGTTAGTGTATTTGCCAATTAACATTGTTACATCCCGTAACGGAGAATATCCTCATTTCTCTTATTACACATTTCCAAACATAATTAAATTGGTTTTCAATAATTCCCCTTCAAGTTTCTTCTTTCCGATCGTTAACTGCAATCTTTATAAGTCATTTATAAGAAACTTCCCTTATATTCTATTGATCTATATTCTACATTGTTTTATGAATGCCAAAATGCTCGTATCATTGCCAATTTATCATGTTCAACTATACCTTCTCTAAATTCTAACTTCGAGATGTTATACAATAGAAAGATCATAAAAAAATAAAACTGTTTTAATCCTAGCAATATAGAGGTCCTTATAGCTTCGATGTCAAAAGCTATGTGCAATATCATTTCGAACTACTAGAGTAGAACCTCCCTTATATGAACACCTGTTACACGAACATTCTATTACATGAACATTCTTTTATTTGAACGTTCTATTATACAATCAAATTATAGGTACTTCTTACTGCGATGCACACGTATTGTAACAAAAGTGCTTACAACCCGTATAAATCTATTTGATCAAATTTGTTCACAAATTTGTTCACGTAGTGTATTGTTATATTGCCAAAACATAAACATATACTACTGTCATACACACACGCGCACGTACGCACACACGGTTAAAAACATTATCATAAAGAACGAACAACAAGTCTAGTACAAAAATGCATTATTACAAAGTTAAACAACATAAAAATCCAAAAACATATAAATTTTACTGCAATATGTCTTAACTATTAAATCAAATTGTGAGTTAACCGTTTATCCATCTCACACGTGAAATTATCTTATCTAACCACTACTGTCCCCTAACTAGTTCACTAGAACGCAGATTCCACTGCGCCTACAAAGTCGGGCCGATCTGTATCGCTCGAAGAACCGCAAACTTCCGCAAAAAAGTATTAAATCATCTACGAACGTGCGTGTTGGTAGACCTAATTAACCGCATTCATTTCGCGCGGAACGGTGGGGCTTTCACGCCGGTAGAAATCTTGTCGGAGACACCAAGGCAGAGGTACTCCGCGACGAGGAACGACGACATCCTTTGGGATTAGATCTTATTACAAGGGAATTTAGCGGCGACGTACGCGCTGACGGTTAAGGTCGTGGCTTTCCTAGGTAGCTTAGGTGCCCGCTGTCGGCGTCGTCTTCCCGGTTAGCGGTGTAGATGGTGGTTAACGGTGGTTTGACGTCCTCGCGGCACTGTCTGCTCTATTAGATTTACATGTAGATGGAGTTATCACGTTTTAACGAGCTGCTCGCCCAGCCCCGCCGCCTCTTATCTGCCCGCGGTAACGTGTTTGTCGTCGTCGGCCGAAATCAACGATCGTTCGGAGGACGCCGGAGGACCGATCGCTCCCAAGGATCCCATCGATCATTCCAGTCCCTGCGACCAACGTGTTCAGCCAACCAATCGCAACATCCCACGCTTATTTCCATCTTGGATCGCAAAACGCTGATACTTGTTTCTTTTTTCTTTATTTATTTAACGTCATATCGAGTTCCCAGTCATCAGGGACATGGTCGTCAAATTATTAGATTTATTTCCACAAATGTTTTAAGAAATCCAATCAGCTTGTTTCTGTGTTTTGAAGATTTGTTGCATTTGATTTGGTGATTTGGCTCTGTTGCGTTGAGTTTCCATTTCAGTACATTCTATCAATATGTGTTTTATTGTAAATCTTTTGTTGCGTCTGTCACAAAAAAACGCTGATACTCTTTTCACTGCAACTTCAAAACCTCGACCCGGAATCGGAAAACCGTGTTAGGCCTCTGGAAATGAACAGTTTTGAAAGTTCGTGCCGAAGGTTGAATGAATATCATTGATAGGAGAACTTTCTACGTCACGTTTTGCACTTCGCGACATTTACAAACTGCATTGTCAAGTTTGATTTTGTCCGCCTTCCGCTCGAACTGCGTGGAGATACGTAACGAGTGAAGTTTTTTTTCTCTTGTTTGAAGTGACTCTTTAGTCGTGCTCGTTAATTTGTAATTTGTGTGTAATTTGTTGAAACGTATCGTTTTGTATTGTATCAATGAGTGACATCGTTTTGCTCTAGAATTAACTCCCTAACCGCAATCGTTAATTTGTGATTTCTGTATGGTTTGTTGAAATGTTCTATCTCGGTAAATTTGGGAATTTTTAAGTTTTTGTATCGATATTCTTCGGTGGTTAGTCAATGTAGATTTGAAAATTGGGAGCATAATTAATTTTAGGTACCTCCTTAGCAATTTATTAGTTTTATTGAGTTTATTATGAAACTGTTTATTACGATGTTGGAATTATTAATTAAGTGCATCGTCTTTCGCTTTTTAAGAATACACGTTCTTCGAAAAGATTCTGTTTCATCTGAAACTTCTAACAAAATTATTAAAATGATTGTTTTCTAAACTTTGTCTCAAATGTGATTTCAAAAATAATTAATATTTGAACTCGGTGGACGGTTCATGAGGTACTAATCTTCCAATGGCAACTAGTGGTACTTATAGAGTGAGAAGTAAGGATTTCACACTATATTCTGTTAATCTGTATAGAAATCGTTTTTCATTTCTTACATCTCTCTAAAATGGAGTTTCAAAAACCAGTTTTCCTAATTCATCTTCAAATTTCATATTCACATGTACATAATTTATTATGACTCTTTTCTTTCATTTCGAATAACATTAAATTAAATTGTATCATTAAAACATCATTACAGGTTAATACGAAAAATTCTGATAACTATTTTACATTTTACTTTCCAAATGCTAAAGTTAAATTAGAATATCGCAAATTAAACGACTAAAACCATTTTATTTGCGACGCATTTAATTACCAGCATATACTTCACATACTTGACTAAATCTATAACGGTAGTGAAAGACACAGATCGCAAGAGAAGCGGAAAACGATGTTAACCCTCATGTTCCATTTATAACACGGTTTTCTATAAAACTGCATCGAAATTGAAACCATCTTAACAAAACATGATAAATCATAAGTTTCCATATTCAACTACAAAAAACATCGATATATAAAATTATTTACAAATTCCTATAACATCGGCAAGTACAAATTGCTATATATTTCCTTCAGTCCACTTTAAACAATTAAAAGTCATTTGAACCAGAAATAACATTTACAAATCTTATAATTAAATACGTCAGTCTGTGATATCGGGTTAATTAAAAAACTTAAAAGATAATTGAAGTACAGTTCACAGAATACTACGAATACATACGAAAAAGAAAGAAAACATGTCATATCGTTTATTATTTCTTCTCCACGTTCACCACTAACTGATCAGAAACTCTATTTGATTCGGGTGAGGGCATGAAATTTTTGTTGAGCCGATCAGAAAATGCACACTGGAGAGACATTCGCAGTGACAAGCGCCACGCTCGCCCAGCGCTGAACAATTTCATTTATCACGAGAAAAATGGCGGTTAAACTCCGCGAGCGAGCGAACCATACATTCTCCGGAGATCGAGGGGAGGGCAAAAGCCGCGCAGGGATACGCCTGTAACCAGGCAGAAGATCGGGAGAAACGCTGGAAAATGGAAGGCACCGAGGGTGAATCGCTTCTTCTTTGTCGTCCCCGTCGTTATATCACTTGCGCTCAGCGACAAGAGAGTGTATTAGCGTGGAAAACCGTTCCGAGGTTCGGACGGACCGTCATCCTTGTTAGCACATTTTCCGCGATACCTGTTCACGAGGAATGCCGGATCAGGGGACATTTCACGGCATTGTCGACTAACGTCCAATTAATTTCATGCCACTTATTTACAAACCGCCTGTTACCGCGCTCTTGTTACCGCCACTAACTGTATAATAGATAACATTTCAGATTTCTTTGAGGAAAAAATTGATAAATATGAACATATGATTTTTTTCGTTGAAAGACGCCTTAGTATTTTGTGCCAAGTCGGTGTTAAATACGTATTGACTTTGGGGTAGTGTAGTAGTGGCTAGTATATTTAGAATAATTTTCTTGTGAGATTTTAGAAACCTAATATGTATTATTCATTAATTAGATTGAAATTCAATTGTGATTGAATCTTGAAATAGTATTCTATGTTTCTACACGCTATTTTTACCAAATAGTAATACGTTTTGCAAACGTAATATTAAAAGAAATGTATGGAAGAAATCAATCTGAAAACAATTATACAATAACGTGTACAAATAGACACAAATATTTCAAGTATGGAAAAATCCTTGTCAGATCCCTTATTTACTTATTAGTAGCAAACACAATTATACC